GGTCAAGGGTTCAAGTTAGCTAATAGTTCTAGTTGTGGGATTTTCAAATTCAATGTGAGTTGGCTTCTTATTTGTCCGGCTCTCAGACTTTTGTATACCTGATTTATATCTCATATGATGTTCTTGGGGGCATTGTAGGTCTGTTCAGTTGGTTGTTGGTTGTTGTTCAGTTGGTTGTTGGTTGTTGGAGGGATAACTCTTTTGCAAGAATGTAAAATATTCGACTTTTAGTTTAAAATTAAAGTAATTTAATCACTCTTATAAGCAAGAATCATATAGGTGTATAAGGATCAAAACAAGCACATATTGCAACTTTAGATTTTATACATAGCATGCACAAACACAAGAAGTCATGATAAGCACCTTGGCCTAGTGATTTGGGCCAAGAAGAGAGAGAAGGAATGTCTGGTAATTGCCCGATGTTTCGGATTTGACTGCATCATTCAAAGTTTTCTTGTACTTTTTATGGTACTCTGCCTTTATATATTGCATATCGATCTCGGTTCTTGTCACTATCACCCTTATAAGGGTCGTGTCATCAGTCCCTAAGCCTTTCATCGACTTATTCAACACCTACAAACATTTTTGATTTCGATATCAGTATAATATTGTAAAAAAAGGGAATACACCATTTAACAAAGCAAATAATTGGTTGAATAAAAAATCCACCTTTGCAAAATACTTTGCGGGATTTTCAGCACATTGTAAGATTGTCAAAAGTGCGCGTTCAAATAACCCCGAAGTTTCACTTTTTATGGCCTACAAAATGGTCAAGATTCAGAATCAAGAATATGTGCCATTTGGTTAGCAAAAGCTTGGATTCAAAATTGTAGAGTAGAAATGTGTGGACATTTTTTTTAACCTTTTTGAGAGACCCTCCATACATGTCATGGTAAAATGAGTTTATAGCAATCAAATGTGCTTTACTTCTTTCACTGAAAATATGCACGAACACCTTTTCATCGGTTCCTAATTTCTTTTCGCCAGCCTTGTACAACTCCTTTGCATCTTTTGCAGCCATGTCCCTATCAACTTCCATTCCTTGATATCGTGGTTTGCTTATTAAAGCAAGCAATATCTACACAAGAAATTAACTTTTCAATCAAATGATGTCTTTCTATTACCTAAACAACAGAAAATGATACTAAGCAAGCAAAATCTACACAAAGAAATTACTATATTGTTTCAATTCCAATGTGGATTTGGCTCATTGTGGGAACCAAGCTCGTATGCCAACCACCTAGATGGCAGAGCTATACCTGATTTACATCTCACATGATGTTTTTTTGTACTGGCCCATGAGATGCTGGAAAAATAACCTTTTTTGCAAATGTATAAATAAAACTTGATAGATTGATAAAAAAAAGTGGAAAAGATTTGACCTTTTCGTGGTCCCCGGAAGCTTGAATTTCAATGTCTTTTTCAAGATACGTCCCGAAAGTTGAGTGATAAATTTGCTTGACAGTTTGTATCTGGGAAGGAGTTCGTGAGCATATGACATCAGTTACAGCTTCAAGATTTATGAAATCTTTGGTCAATGCCTGCTTTAATATAATCGCATCTCTTCCTGCTGGATCATGCATCCAAAGCAAAACTGCAGTCTGTGACATGATTTTCAAAAGTCAAACTTAATATAATCCAAATTCAGAATTCACTTTGATGCTTTTATCTATTTATCTCAATCCTTTTCTAGTCAACAAGATCTAACAACAGTCTACAGATCTATCTAACATCCATCCATTTCTATAACTAGAGTATTGTCATCAATTTTGAAATTTAATAACTATCATATTTGAGTATCGAAAGTCAAACTTGACCTATATACCTCTAATTTGCCACTAAGTTCAGAAGACAAACGTTTAAGAATGTCTTCGGAATACATCCTCTGGAATTCATGCTGGATATGCGCCCTTTGCGTTGCATCTCGATGCGCAAGAATGTTAATCACCGCCGCAGTATCGCATCCAAATCCTGATTAAAGTCAACCAAAGTGAAATTAATAAACTGGAGCAAGATCGAATCTAAACAATTACGTTCTAAGATATAATCAGGGAAAACAAAAGTGGGTGTCGATCAAAATCAGATTTTGATCATATGTCATCATTTAAAATCGAATCGTTAATTCAACGATGTAAAGAAAATGGGTGAAGTTGACTTTGAGTAATTAAAGGATGCACCTTTGAAAGCTTTATATAAATGAATGGCATCGTCGTGGGGAGAAACCGGTGTCGGAGGAACTGTGAGAGTCGCCATAATCGATCAGATTGTGAGTTCAGGGATTTGGAAACGACGAAATTAAATAGAAATTTAAGAGAAATATGTTGGTGTTTCTATATGACTATGATCGATCGCTCCAAAACGGTCAAGATCAACCTCAACTACTTCTCATAACCGTCAACACTTGTAATTTGTCAATCAAGTTGAGTGATTGATTCTACACGATGGACTTATTAAATTGATCAAAGTGGAACGGTTGGCTTAGACCAGTCAATCCTAATCAAAGATTGAAAATGTTAATGGCGTGTCATTATGGCATTCGTGGTTAACATTTTGATTCGGACAAACGAAATGTAATATTTTAAATTTTATTTCAAGTGCTTATTTTTTATTATAATATCAAATTTTAGTTTATTTCAAGAGCTATTTTTTATGAAATTTAAAGATAATTGATATTGAAACCGGCATGGTTGAGTAAAATATTGAAAATCAAAAGAGTTATTGTGGGAACTTATTTGAGGGTCGACGTTGTGACTTTAAATTTGGGAATGTGACTCAAGAACACGAGTTCGATTCCAAATGGAAAGAAGAGCGAGAAATTATGTAACACTCCAATTTTATCTTAGCGTGAATTAGCAACTAAACAACATTATTTGTTGTGATGTCAAAGTCCAATGGAAATACAATCTATTTGTTCTCTTTTCAATTACAATATAATAAATACAAAACGGGTGCTACAATCAGAAACCATAGAGAATCACTAAAAACATTTTCATTAAATGAATTAAACTGTACATATACTTGTAGTACTTATCTCTTGCTAATCCCCATTTTACTAAGTTCTTCAACAAGTGCTATTTACATGTAGACTTCAACTCAAAGCTTGATACGTGGCACACATGTCATT